CTCAGCTCAGGTGCAGTGTCACTGGCCCATGTGGGAATCGAACCGGCAGCCCTGTTGCTCAGAGCTCGTGCTCTTAAGCTAACTCTTAACCAACTGAGCCACTCGGCCGGCCCTCAATGCTAAATTTCTGAATGAGATAGTGTACTGTGTTTACGTGAGAGAATATTCTTGTTCTCAATAAATGCACTCTGAAGTACTGGGGGGAAAGGGACATAATGTAAGCAACCTACTCCAAATGGTCCAGAAATATATACTTCTAGATACATGGATGAGAGCAATAAAGCCAATGTGGCAAATGTTAAAACACTGGTAATGAATAAAATGTGGTAACACATACCATGGAATGACGCTCAACATTAAAAGGAACTACTGACATGTGTAACAACATGGATGAACCTCAAAAACACGCTTGAGTGAAAGAAGCCAGATATGAAAAATTACATATTATATGATACTATTTATATGAAAATTCTAGAAAATGCAAAACTATAGAAACAGAAAACAGATCAGTGATTGTGGGGGGCTGGGTGAGAGGAGATTAACTGCAGGTGATCAGGAGGGAACTTTTGGGAGTGACAGAAGTGTCCTACAACTGGGTTGTGGCAGGGTGCCCAGCTAGGTGAATTTTATGGCATGTAAATCCTCCCTCAATAAAGCAGTTAAAAATTGGTGAATTTATAAAGCATATATGAATTTATATGAATTTATAAAGCATATAAAATACAGGAGTACTCTGTACTGTTCTTACAATTTTTCTGTAAATTAGAAATTATTTCAAAATAAAATATTTTAAAAAACAAAATGAGTAGCTCTCTATGGGCTGATATGAAATGATTTCCAAGATATCTATTTTTTATAAATAGGAAGGTACAAAGCAGTGTATAGAGCATGTTTGAAAATGTACACATAAAACTTATCTATGCATATGTAATGCGACAGGGGTAGGCAAATACTGGCCCGCTGCCTGTTTTTGTCAGTAAAGGTTCACTGGAACTATGCCATGCCATTTGCTTGCATGTTGTCTTTGGCTGCTTTGGCACAATAAGCAAAGTTGTGACAGATTGTATGGCCAACA